TCTGAAGTAAAAATTTACGAATAAATGCTGGTAACTGCAAGGACTGCAAAGTAGCGTGGTGTGACTCGTTTGTACTGCATGCAATTGTCGCTTAGCAGGCCAGGTCCAGCTTCGCTTATATTGAAGGAAGAAACAACATCAGCAAAACGCTTACCCTAAGCGAATGTGATATTCTCACTGCTTATGCTATTATTTCCAAATTCTTTTTACTCTCAGTAACTAAGCACTGCTGGTAAATGAGGCAGAATTACAACTGAGTCTATATCCGCCTGCATAGACACCGTATGCTTTGTACATATACGTTGTGCAGGGCATGCAATACTGTAATTTTCACCCTCACAGGTGAGAAAAATAGCCCACTACAATAACTAATGAGCAAAGATTCACCAAACTGAAATAATTGGCACTGCTGCACTGCCAGCTGGCCTATGAAAAACAGGGAAAAAATTATAAAGGACGGCTTCTAATTAGCCATTAAGCACGCAATTTTTTAAAAGTAGAACCTCTAACATAGATGAAAACTTTTAAACAGCTTCTCTACATGGCACTGTCAGTGGTCAGTTTCGTTGTTGCCGCTGTTATCCTCATCATCGAAGGCTAACAGAACTCGTGCAGCAAAACAATTTTATGTGACACACATTTACTCTTTGCCTGCTTTTGTCGAGAAAAGCTTTGAACCCATTTCTATTATCCTTTGAAAATGTTTTAGTAAACCGAACCAGGCGCTAATCAATAAGTTGTTACGAGAATCAGTTGGAAAAAGAAGACTTGAGACTGGCGCATGGCTTTGTTTGCTAAAATATTTTTTTTGCAATATTTTTAAGAGAACCGAAAGATGTTCAGAGCCTTTCGCTCAATGAAAGTGTCCCTGGACGTAGATGAATAGCCCAAAAAAGAATTCTGAATCCCACCTAGTTTAGAATATATGTGCGTAATTATATGTATGACTGTGTGTGGCAATGAATACAATGAATATATATTTTCTACTCCCATACATGCCAACAGAGAGAATGTTTGTATACGTGAATGTCAGAGAGTAATGACTTTTCTAAGCAAAAGAGTCAATGTAGCCCTGCAATCAGTTTGAACGTCCTTTCCTTTGCAGACCCTCTTCCAGCTGTCAAATTGTAAACCTCTAAAAATATGCAGCGCAGCATCGATTCTCCTGCTGTTTAGAAAGGTCATTAATCTCTGGTAGGCTGATATCCGAACATGGATGACAAATGTGGATTTCGCACTTTGACTATCACAGTTAAGTTTTGTCCAGCACCAGGGATCCGCAAGCGATCTAGCAGCATGAAGAAATATGCCGCGGTCGAGGAAACGTGAAGTAGAGCGAAAAGAATTCATGAACGAAACACAACAGGTATCTCATTGCTGGACATGTTTGCCAACGAGAGGGGGAAGGGGAACAACAAGTTGAGCCCAACAACATCTACATTCACCGTCACTGGTCTCATAAGTCCAACAGTTTAAAGGCAAACGTACTTGACTATAGACTCTCAGTAACATTCCCTTGTCGTTCATAAGTCGCATAAAATAGTGACTTATTGTCGGTCGTAGTTTTTTTGGCAAGAGCGACTTCGCCAGATGAAAGAACGGCGCTGGATTTTTCTGGAAATACAACCAACGCTGTTCAACGTTATTAACGATAAGTAGCTAATCGCGTACTTTAAAGAAATTAATATCAAAAACAGCCTCGGGGTAAGGCAGATCAAACTTGTCCAAATTAGCATAAATGCCGCTTTTAGGACTGCGGAAGTCCGGTATTCCGGCAGCTAAAATCATTCCAAAATTTACGTGTTTTGGTCGACAAAATATTCTATATTCTGCTCTTTACCAGTCGAAATTCCGGCACCGCACATAAAAACTATTTTAACATTCGGTGTGGTTTTGATGAATTCAACCAGGGCATCGACTGTCGGCTCTTTCAACGGCTTTGGCCTTTCAACGGATAGTTCATGAAGAGCATCCGACAGACTGTGTTTGAACGATTCAAAAACTAAAGTAGTCATGGCTAATAAATGTGCGTAAAATATAAATATCACATTTCAAATCATCAGGGCCATTTTATAGCAGACTAAGTGACTTCACTTTTCAACGCTGCGCCAAGTCAACTGAATCTGTCACGAACACGAGCAACTACGCATAATTTCTAACTGTGATATAGACAACTGCAGACGGCCAAGAGTAACCTAGGACATGGAAAAATCTTGCTCCAGAATCCGGTTGTCTCCTGCCGAAGCTCAAACGCTGGAATATGATCAAGAAAGTTTGATACTGTCTCATGCATCTGCCTGTGCCACTGGAAATGGTAAGCTATCAAGACTGACAGATAGACAGACAGACGGACTCACTA